TTCCCTGTCCTTTTTGAACTGAGGGGCCCAAAACTGGACACAATACTCCAGATGTGGCCTCACCAATGCAGAATAGAGGGGGAGGAGAACCTCTCTTGACCTACTAACCACACCTTTTCTAATGCACCCATTATTAATCCTTCCTTCTTCACATTACTAGCATCAATCCTGGAGAAAGCCATCCTTCTGTTTCGCGCTTAGAGACCTCAATGTTCACTCATTTCTGAAGTTTCAGAGATTGTCATGGCTGCTATTGCAGCCCTGGTTTAGCTTTCCTGCATGAGCCCAGCAAAATACCATTTAACAGCAAGAGTCTTATCGTAGGGGTTGGAAGGGACCTCTGAAGATCATTGAGTCCAACCCCTCTGCTGCAGCAGGAACACCTAGGGCAGATCACACAGGAACACATGCAGACAGGTCCTGAAAGTCTCCAGAGAAGGAGACTTCACAGCCTCTCTGAGCAGCCTGTTCCAGTGCTTCATCACCCTCATAGTAAAGAAGATTTTTGTCATATTGAGGTGGAACTTCCCTAGGATGAGGCAGAGTTTCTCAAGTCTCCTATTTCATTGGGACCTGCTGCTACAAGCCCCGTATCTCCAGTATTTTACCCACAGAGTGTGGAAACAGATTTTTCAAGAGCACTCAATTAATTCCAAGCATGTCACCTGCTTGGGAACACTATCCCAGGCTGAGTGAACCCTGTTAAGACAAGTCAGGCATTGGGCATCTTAGAAGGAAAACTTACATACCCTGATAAGTGGCTCAGGAGCCTTTGCTATCGTAATTAAAGGGCTTGTCGCATGTGAGCATGTGATTACTGGGCCCAAAGCACAGAATATTTTCACCCGTTTAGCAAGCTCAGGGTATGTAGAAAATGCTATGAAGCCTGCAAACACAGAAGAGACAGCCTGAATTAGGGAAGACATCTTCCATAGACAACATAAATAAATAAGCAGTGGGTGACAAAGAAGAAGTGACACTGGATTTGGAGTCCATTAGCTGTCGTCCATGTTTGTCTCTGTTGCATGTTTTACCTGGGTTAAGTGCTAAAGCTAAGTCCTGAAATTAAATTTATTTTGGAAGCAAAATTAATTGTGAGGTTTATAGCATGTCTGGACACTGCCTTTCTCAGAAGACTTTTTGTAGGCAAAATATCAGTGGGGTATTCATGATAAATTGTCTCCAAAGTTTAAAAATACTGTAATAAAAAATGAGCTTTTCAGATTATAGTCTCTAAAGGCTTATGTATGTTTATGTTTCTATGTAACAGTAGAACATCTAGTTGAATACTATGAATTATGAGTGTTTTCAACTGGTGTTTTGCATCAAAGGCAGCTAAAGAAAGCCTAAACGGTTAGTTTGTTTTGCTATAAGGGGCTTAAAATACTTTTATGAGAGGAAAAGAAAGAAAGGTCTCGAGCTGTGACAATATATTATTTTTGCATTTCCTTCTCATTATTTTTTTTTTCTGGGATGCTTACACTGAACTTATAATGAATTGGCAGTTGCTAATTTCTGAGCAATATTTGTTCATGGATCTGTAACCATCAGCATCAGTAACTTTCAATTGATGCTGAAACAAAGTTAATTGCATTCAGAGGCTGTGCAGTGAGTTATTTGCTACAGGTTCACACTGAGAAAAAGATATAATTAATGTGGGTTTTTTTCCTAATTTTCAGTCTCTGGCAATATGTTTTTAAACAGTAACATGATCAGTTATAGCCACTTAAGATCTATGCTTTAAATTGCATGATTGGCATTAAGTCACATGACCTAGTAGTACTGAATTTCTTTTTCCTTGTCTTCTGTTATTTGAAAATATTTATTACATGTACTGTTTTGTCTTTTTAGTTTTTCCTTATTTTAACAAGAAAATAATTGTATGTCTTAGTATAAAAGATGAACCTAATGGAAAATCTTGTTGCTGAGATTTTAAGAAAATGCCCAGTGCCAGTATCTGAAGTACCCAGGAAAGAACCACTATTTGGTCTGTAATTATTTAAAAAGCAGAAATATATTTGGATCTGCTATTTGGATTTTTTTGCTTATTAAGGGTGACCAAAGCTGTTTTTAGACAAGTTTTGCATATATTCCAAATCTCAACTCAGAAGGCAATACATTTGTTTCCACAAACAAAATAACTGAATCACTAGGGAGACTTATTGATCAGATGGGAACATGAATGGTTACAAACCATTGTCCAGACATTACCTGCAGCTGCACCTTCGGAGTGACCAACATAGTATACATCCTTCTGTCCTGTTTTATTCATGATGAAATACAGCTCTGCTGGAATATCATATTTACCCATTTCATCGAAGCTACAGGGTAGAAACACAAAAAGCTAGCAGACAATTGGGTTATCACAGTGCGAGTTGCTGAATGTCAGATTTGTTCATTGCATCAAGGAGAAACCGCTGAAAGATGAGGTTGCACACTTTGTGTGCATTCTTGCTTGAGCTGGGGAAGGGGGTAGAGGGATGCAGCTGTCCTGCCAAGCTGCCTGATGCCCTGGGCTCTCTGAGGAGGAGGTGCCACTTTTTCCTGTCAGCAGCAGCCCTTGGCAGACTAAATGTAATGTGTTCTCACCAGCATGGGTTACAAAACATATTTTTCTCTTGGTTGAATTCAGCTGTGAGAGCTCAGAGACAAATCTGCTGAGCCTGTTACAGCTGTGTTTCTTTATTTCCCTCTTACAGTACTGTCTCCCTTTTCCTCACATCCTATTTCATTTCCCAGTGTCTTAAGTCTCTTCCCCATCCAGTGCTCCTGAACCTGAGTAGCAGTATGCATCCTTCTTTGTCTGGTTCTTTACTCTTCTTGGTTGGTCCTGATGCTTGTTTTGGTAAAAAACATCAGGCTGAAGCTATCTGACTTGAGTAATTCCTCTCTACAGAGTACCTGAACTGCCAGAACTCTTTCTGGTAGGGCTGAAGGGTCTTGTGCTTTAAAGACCAGGTGTTCCCTCGGCTGTTTCCCAACCAGACGTCATAGCCGGCATCTGCGAGGAGGAAGCCCAAGCTGTTGTTGGGCAGGTTAGAAATCCAATGGGTAGCATCTCCTAGAAAAGCGTGCTGTAGGAAGACTGCAGGCTTTTGCCCTGGAATAGATGAAATAATCCTTGTATTGGAGCAGTAGTTACTATCTCTTTCAGATTGCAGTGCGGAGTTTAGTTCATGAAAGGTTTTAAAACTTCCCTTCTGCAAGAAGTTCCCAGGAGAACTATGCATAGACATTGTACTGAGATACTTGAAGTATTTCTCCTATGCAAGTAGGAGTCATTTTATGAATAACTACTTCACTACAGGACTGGCAAGTATGTAATGAGGAAGCCTGTCCCCACCTCCTCTTGCACTGTAAACCAACTTACAGATCCCTATAGTGAAATTATTTCCACAGCGAAAAACCGTGGAAGGCATAACAGTGTATGGGAGATATAGAAGAATTAATTCAAGGCAGCATATCTACCCTTAGGCCTATTCAGTAACTGAGTGAACAGGGCTGAGAGGGCCTTGATCTAACTTTGGTAGTTCGCACTTTGAAATTGACCCTGATCCATATGATCTTGCCCAGCCCACATGAGGGGTAAAAAACCCAGGACATGGCAAAATCATTAGAAAAGTCTGAAAAAAAGAAGAGCCACACTGAATGTGTGGACTTCAGATGGATTCAGAATTCAGGCCGTGTGCCCGACTAGGTGCTGTTCCTGAGGTGGAAAGGTGTGGAAAATGCCATTGCCTGTGCAAAGGGGAAAGAGGGGACACCCATGCGAGAGCTGGCTCTCAGACATTCCTTATGTCCTGTAACTGTGTCCCACCTGTATTTTGGCTGTTCCTCCCAGCAGGAGCCATGGACGGAAGGGAAGGGGAGAAGAAGAAGGAAGGAAGTTGTCTTCTGTGATCTCTGACCTTCCTCTGAGCTTACGTAGATATATGGAATGGAATATCTTTGGCCAATTTTGCTGTCCATCTAACTCAGCCTCCTACGGGGGGGTCACAGATCTCCCCATAGTGTCTGAGCCGGCAGAGTGCAGGTGTGGCCTTGAAGCCTCAGTAGTTAGAAAAACATTCCACTGTCTTATCAGCCTAGCAGAACACGCTGTTGCTAGCTACAAGAAAGCTCACTGAAGGAAAAAAAAATCAGTAAAAAGAAAAATTGGCTTCATCCTGGCTCAAACCAGGACAAACATGCAGCAGTATCTCTATAAGGAAATGCCTAATGCTGTGCGGTTTGGTCCATAATGAATCCTTTCTTGCCAAAGTGTGATGAGGCCAGCCATGGGGGCAGCTCTTGTCTCTAAGGAGCTCCTAAGAAGACCACACACACCTGATTTTGCATGTACTGTGAGGATTTCTTCAGTGACTCACAACAAGGGTTCTTGGATTACTCTGTGCTGTGAGAATCTACAGCCTGATGAAGAGGTTCAACCTCCCTTGCCATTGTGCTGAGCAAAGAGATTGAGATGGAATGAGAGGACTTTGCTTCCCTGGAGACTAGAAACCAGCCTTTGCCTGCCTTGCCAAGGAATTCTTCTCTGGCAGCTCGGGCTGCTTGGCTAGGAGCATCAAGGTTCCTTCTAGGCGAGGGCTCCCTACCACAGTGCTGGGGGGAGCCCTTTGAAGGAGTCCTCCTCTTAGCCTCCTGACAGGGACTGTTAGTGTTGGGGTGGTGGAAGAGGTGTGGGGAGAGACAGTTTAGGCAGAAAGGGAGAGAAGGTGACCCAACTTACCACGTTCATGAAGGATTCAGGGTTGCGATTCTTGGCGTACTGGCTTTTGTCTGAAGTCAGAGAGGAGGATGTTGTGGACCCTGCCGAGAAGGCAATTCCTTGGGAGCAGAGCAGCAGGAGGAGGTGCCACATCTTGGGGCTGTGTGAAAGAAGACATGTAGGAGGATTTGTTTTAGGAAGAGAGTGCTGTGGGATTCCAGAAGACCAAGTGGGCAGTCTCCTGAAGGTTTCCCAAGTCCTGTTCTGCCAGGGTCTTCCCGAATAAGTGCCTGTGTGAGGGGGCACTGTCCACAGCTCATGCCATGTAGGAGGGGCAGGAGTGAGTCAAGGGCTCCAGGAAGATGGGGAACAGACCTGGTGCAATGCGCTTGTATGATATTGGTGTCAATTTGTGCCATGAGTCTGTTCCGTTCTCTCTCATCTATGGTCCTCCCTACTGTAAATCTTTGTCTTGGCCACTTGGAGAAAGACTGCATTTTCATGGGGTTCTGGGGGTGACTGATGGTTCCAGGGAAGCTTTTTCTGAATAGAAATTCTGCAGTGCCTTCTATCTAGTTATTGCCTTGCTTTTGGGCTGTAGCCACATTTGTAATCAGCATAGAAAAAACAGGTCATGAAAGCAGTATATTTCCTGACATACAGTGGGAACGATTTTTAACATTGAAACATTTTAACATCTACCTCTTGAGTTACTAGAATTTTTGGATTAAAGCAGAACTGGGGTACACCCTTGATTTGAATATTGCCATCCAAACTGACTCTAGGCCATCCATCCACTCTGAAGAAATTTACTTCAATTTTTATCTTAAAAGCACAGGAATCATCCCACCTGTGTGCTCTGTAAACAGATATTTAAAGTTTTGCACTCCATGGCTTTCAGCTGTTTTATCATTTTCAAACAGAAGTAGAACACCTTCCTCTATCCCTCCATGAGGAACATTGTTTGGGAATGAAACTAAAAAGTTGAGCTAAATCCAGTTTGTTTTGTACTAATGGGTGAGACAATGGAGTAGCTAAATTGCTGTTCCTTTTAAGGTATACTTTTTCATCCGTGCTATTAACTTTGAGACTTGTTATGCACTGTCTCATAATTTCAGTGACAAAACACGAACCTTGAACAGCTATCTTCTTCTTTTTATCTAATTAAACAACACCAATGAGCTGAATTTGCCATGGCAAACTGGAAGTGACCACTTGAAAGATACATTCAAAATGTTGTTTCTGGACACCTTCAGTACTTAATGAAAATAAACTTTAAACCTTCTAGAAATTCACCGATGAGCACGTATGTACTTACCTCTGCTTTGACTGCCTTGCTTGTGTCTTCTGCCACAGTTCCTGGTCTGTCTGCACTAGCAGGCTGGTTCAATGGCAGAAAGCTTTGCAATCAAAATGAAAAAAGTTTTCGCTTAGGAGCAGCAGTACTGTATGATGTCTCCACACACAGGTGCTGTATGAAGTAGAGTATTTAAAGGGTGGAGTTATTTTATTATAAGCAGTACATTTGCATGACATTGATAAAAATCAATTTGCACCATGGATCAGGAGGCTGAAAGAGGTATCTAACCTATGGTTAGGAGATTTCTTGGCAGGGTTCTAAGGGATTCTGGTCCGGTGAGGCTGTGTCAGATGTTGATCTGTACTGGTGTCTGTCTGCAAGAATGCTGTTACCACATTCTTTTGGAATAGAGAGGAAGAAGCAGCTTTTCATAACACTTGCTACATAAGAGTATGGTCTCTGCATCATTCCAGGGCATTTTGGAGCTGCTCACAGCTCAGGAGAATGGCATGGGAGTTGCTGGGGTTGAGGGGAGGGTTTTGCACATTCCTGCACACTGCCTTCTTGGCCACCTGGGCACACTTCTGGCTCATGTTCATCCATCTGTTAACCAGCACCACCAGGTCCTTTTCTGCTGGGCAGCTTTCCAGTCACTCTACCCCAGTATTGGTGTTAGAAAAGGGTTAAATAAACTGCCAAGTTGGTATATGAAACAGCTGAGCAATCTGAGGTTTCTTTCAATGAGTTGTAGTTAATCAATTCTAACAACTTAGCCAGCTGATGTCAGAGGACATTGATTCCTTTGGATTTCAATGGGCAGAAATCCTGGCAAGGATCACCTTTTCACCCAAGACATGAATACAGGCTGCAGGAGGTGACACTTGAGAGCAGCCCTGTGGAAAAGGACCTGGGGGTACTAGTGGATCAAAAGCTGGAAATGAGCCACCAATGTGCAGTTGCAGCCCAGAACACCAACTCCATCCTAGGCTGTATCAAAAGAAGCGTGGCCAGCAGACTGAGAAGGGTGATTCTGCCCCTCTGCTCTGCCCTGGTGAGACCTCACCTAGAATACTGGGTCCAGCTCTGGTGCCCCCAGCACAAGAAAGATGTGGTCCTGTTGTAGCGTGTCCACAGAAGGGCCACAAAAATGATCTGAGGGCTGGAGCACCTCTCTTAGGAGGACAGGCTGAGGGAATTGGGGTTGTTCAACCTTGAATAGATAAGGCTCCAGGGGAACCTGATAGTGGCCTTCCTGTACCTGGAGGGGGCCTACAGGAAAGCTGGGGATGGTCTTTTTACAGGGGCTTGCAGTGAGAGGACAAAGGGTAATGATTTTAAGCTGAAAGAAGAGAGATTTATGTTAGAGATTGGGTGTAAGTTCTTCATTGTGAGGGTGACTAGACACTGGAACAGGCTGCCCAGAGGTGTTGTGGGGGCTCCATCCCTGGAAGTGTTCAAGGGCAGGTTGGATTGGGCTCTGAGCAGCCTTTTCTAGTGGAAGGTGTCCCTGCCCATGCAGGGGAGTTGGAACTCCATGATCTTTAAGGTCTCTTCCAACTCCAAAAGTTTTGTAATTCTGTGATTTGCCTGTGAGATATCACTCATGCCACTGTGTTTTAAGCCACCAGAATATTCATGACATGCTGCAAGACTAGTATCTTGGAAGAATCATAAGGAGGTTTCTCACAGGTAGGTGCAGTGTATCTTTCTGCTATAAGCCAGCCTAATACTCTTCTGGTAAACTGCCATTGAAAGGCTGGTGCCAGCAAACTAACACTACAGTTAATGGAGCTATACTGCTGTAACCAGAGAAGGACAGAGACCATGTAAGTCACCAAACATGGCCTCCCACCTCACAGTTATATGCCTGTGTTTTAAGACTTGTTTAAAAGCATACTTGAAATATAGGAAAAGTGATTTTAAACTATAAAGACAAAAGAGATTTTGGGGTCTGCAGACACTTCAAGTACTCATGGCTTACTCAGAAATACTGTCTGAGCGTGGTACCAAAATACAATCAGCATCTTTTCTTCAGAGCCATGAACATTGAAAAGGGACAATGACACCAACAATAATCGCTCCACAGCAATTACTCAACAACAAATAACATATAAAATAAGCAGCTTGAGCATAAACCATATTCACTGTTTGGACTGGGCTAGGAAGAGAAGACTGAGAAAAGGTGGAAGAGACTGAAGCTAGTTATACTGGGAACTCTCATGCAAGGTGTGGAATCTAGTTGCTAACTCTTTTCTCAGTAGGTGTCAGAGGTGCTCATGCAGGGGGTTTGGTTTATGATTCAGTTAGAAATAGCTTGGGTGGCAAACTAGCTGTCCTGCACAGTTACATGTTTAAAGTTTAAGGTTTCATGTTTTGTTTTTTCTTTCTTTCCCACTCTCCCTTTCTTCACCTGTAAAACTTTCTTCCTCTCCCTGCCACTCCTCCCCTCCCCAGCTTGTTTTGCTGCTTTTCTTTTTAGGCAACTGGAGGCAGTTATTGCTAAAATGACAGAGGAAAATGCTTCTCTGTTGTAACTTGTTCTGTCAGTCTCTCGCAAGCTGTTGTTCACATGTTTACCTCCCTGGGTTGGGTTTCTGAAGATGAAGTGGTGCAAGATCTGGTAGACATGTAAATACTTTCTCTAAAAAGGTCATTGTAGAGAGGTTGGTGCTGGTCTCTTTTCACACTTAGCGACAGAACAAGAGAGAATGGCTTCAAACTACAACAGGGTAGGTTTAGACTAGACATTAGGAAAAAAATTTTCACATAAAGTCATTAGACATTGGAATAGGCTGCCCAAGGAGGTGGTGGAGT